TTGAATTTCTCGGAAGCTATGAGAAGATGGATAGGAACATCAAAATGGATAAAATTCTCACCTCGTCAGTTTCCTCCATTTTAAAAGTTAATTTTCCTACTGCCTCACCGACGTTTCGGATAATCCGCTTCGCCGTCGCACCAGAAATGACTTGCGTGCTGGAATGTTTCGGCAATTCGCCTTCAAATTCCAGAAACTCGATTACTGAGGGGTCTTGTCGGAGAACAGGATGGGTAGTGATGCGATTGATGAAACTAAAGAGCAGATAAAATGCGAAGAAAACAGTACCATTCCAGAGCTTGACGCCTCTTTTCAATGAAATCGTTGTCAGCAGAAGTATTCTTCAAAATTCGTATTTTTGTCGTACCTACTCGATAACTGGTTCATGTAACAAAAACTACCAATCACGTTTTTCTCAGGAGGATACGGAATTATTACACCCTTAGGAAGATACTTTTCTTTTAGTTTCTCATAAAGCCCGAGGAAGTCGGAAAACCGCCGCTGAACACACATGGTACCCTTTTTGAAATAAGACATCGTTGTCTAACGCAAATTATAGATGTAAACGTGACAATTACCATAGTTTTCACTGTATAAACAATGAAAGCGGACATTCCATCTCCAACTTTCTCTGGATTGGAGATTTTTACGAGAATCATGTCGCCATCACCGATTTTAGTAGGCACGATTTCTTCGTGAGTCTCTGTTAGCCCGGGCGCAGACATGTCTCCTTCATCTGGACTTTCTGGAAATAGATCCTCACGTTGGGCATGAAAGTCCTACAAGTAAGGACGGAAGCAAGAGATCAAGCATACATTTACATCCACAGCTGAGAGCATCACAAGGTGAACCTCTAGGGTACTACAGGAGTAGTCTGACAAAGGTCAAATTTTCACACTGGAAGTGGAAGCAAAAGTTTATGAATGGTGTTTAATTCGGGATGACAAGTACGAAATCGTTAATGCGATTTCTCTGGAATTTGTAAGGGCGTCCAATATAAGAAGGCATGGTGCCTCTGGCAAAAATTGGGAGGTGTTGCGCATATACATAACGGGTAAAAAGTTTGTGATATAGTTTTTTTAAATCAAAACCCCTGAATCTGGAAATTTGAAAAAACTTACTTCTAGAAATGAGTAAAACATGTCATCTGAGCTGAGTATAGGAAAATGAAGCGGACTCTTCCAAGGTTGTGGACGATTAATCTGCAGCAAAATGATTGCACCTCAACTGGACGAAGTGGACTTCTTAAGGATACATGGACAGGGCCAGCAATCTGGCAATAAATAAAGGAACACAGTTATAAAACTGCGTGCTCTGGGTTCAGATTCGTGAAGCCCCCATCCTTATCCGTGATTTTTATCGGAAGCCCAACCCCTTCTATAACTAACTCGACGAAAGTTCACGGCATTTGACACGCTCTGAAATCTTTCCCATCTTCGAGCCCAGGTGAC